CCATTTCAATGGGGCAATTTTGGGGGGGCTGTGCGAGGTGCCTGGTTATTGTGCGGGGCCATTGTGCACCAATGGCCAGGGCTTGGCTGTATGTCTCATCTGGGGCAGAGCCTCCTGCCTGCTCCGGGAAGAGGAAACATGTGTCCCTCCATCACCCCCATGGTTGGAACCAACTCATGCTCCAGGCTGGGGGCCCGGCTTTGTAATCTGTGATGCAGCCAAGAGTAGGTGGGACTGTGCTAGGAAGAGGGGAGCTCTCTGAGATGATCATATGCTTGTCCTGCCTTTGCTGTGTGCTCATTTAGTGTGGGTTTGGCCCAGAGACAAGATTTTAAGAGTGTATAACCACAGATGATGTTTTATTCAGTCAGCCCACCCTGTCTCCTGGGCCAGGTGATGGAGAAGCTGTCAGGGCTGTGCTGGATCCTCCTTGAGTTGCATGTCTAAGGCAATCACACACTGGGGTGGGCTACAGGCTTGCACAAGGTAGGTTGGGGTCCCATGGTCAGGAGCCAGCCACAGTCTTCACCTCAGGTCTGTCTGAAGAGGGCTGGGCAGGGGTTCAGCTTCAGAAGCCCCGTCCCAGGGAGAAACACCAAAGCTCCTCCATGACACCGTGGTTTGCTTGGCTGAAGCTAGCCTGAGTGGACAGGATGGAGGGTTGTTGCTTCCAAACGCAGCTGAGATTATTTGGTCCAGTCCTGGAGGTCCAATTCTTGCCCTCATTAGAAAGACCTCTGCATTACAGAGCCCAGGGTATAATTTGGGTAGCATTCACATCACCACAGTGCCTGGACACATCAGCCGGCCGTCCCTGCTGTTTACAGCTGGAGAAACTGAGGCATGGTCAGGCTGGGGCTGAGCACAGACCTGCACCCTACCCTGGGCTGTCCTGGGATGTCTGTGGCACAGACATGGTGTCCCAGGACAAATGACTCTTCTGTGCCCAGACATGTGGTGGGGATGTGACTTCCTAGGGGGGCCCTGAGCAAGGAGGTCTTCCTGGGAGGAGCAGACAGGTTTTATTCAATGCTAGAGCTTCCCAAAAAGCTTAGGTGTTCTTTGAGAGGCTGCTGGGCTCTGAGAGCAAAGGAAGGACAAATTTGCACACCTCAAAGAGGGAGGTGCAAGGCTGGGTTTCCCCAGCCATGAGCCTTTAGGCAGTCTTGGGTGATTTGAATACTGCCCACCCGGGGCTGCAGCTGGAGACCCGAGGGCACCCATGAGTGGGACTGAACAAAGCATCCCTGATGGTGCCCGGGCGCTTTGGTGGTGAGTCAGCACCCACCCTCCAGGCTGCCGAAACCAGGAGATGAGATTGTATCAGCCTGATGGGGGGCTGGTGTGATCAAAGGGCCGGGAGCAGCTCAGGCTCCACACAATGGGGGGACATGATAGCCCTTATCTGCCGGCCCCACCAAGGTGTGAAGGGCCCGTCCCTGGGGGCGAGGGGTGATGGGGGCGGGTGGGCGCTGGGTGCTGCAGGGCTGGGTGCAGGCAGGCACAGCCGGGGGCTCCCACCCAACCCTTCACTGGGAAGGCCTCTCCTGGCAAACACTGAGAAGCAAGAAAATAAACTGGTTGTTGCCTGGTCAGATAAAACCCTTGGGAAGAGTTTGGAGTCTACTCCAGCTGCAGGAGCAAGGTGGCTGCTCTGGTTATTACCTAGGGAAGGTTTTGGGATGGGGGACCCGCAGCATCCTCCCTCCCTGTCCCCACATCCCACCCTGCTCCTGACAGGAGCACTCAAGATGAGGGCCCCGCAGTGGGGAGCTGGCCCCACACCACACACTCGCATAGGTCTCAAACATGGTCATTTAATAAAATCTCCTTTTAAAAGAACTACAGTCCATACAACAAGGGGCACAGGGTAAAGGGCAGCAGCCCACGGGTAGGGAGCAGGGCATGGAGAAAGGATCTGTGCAGCAATGGCCTCTGCCAGCAACCCCGCTGGGGACAGTCCCATACCACCACTCCCCAGCCCAGAACTCTGCTGCTGCTGCCTGCCCTGCCCGTGCCTGCCTGCACGTGCAATGGCTCCTGAGCGTGCAATGGCTCCTGTGCATGCAACAGCTCCTGTGTGTGCAAGGGGCCACCCCTGTGCAAGGCACCACCAGCATGTGACATGTCACCTGTGGCTGTGACAGGCCACAGCAGGGTCTGGCCATGAAGCCATGGGTAAAAACCTAAAACCCATCCCGGGCCTTACGCTGCTTATGGCCAACGCACAGGGGAGGCGCTGAGGAACAGTGCTGGGCTCTGAGCAAGAATGTGCTGGTGGAGGCTGGTAAGCCTGGATGCAGCCATGGGCAGTGGAGGGGTACAGGGGGTCTCTGGAACCTGGGAGGTGCCCTGGGATGGAGCAGCAGAGGCTGTCCCCTGCCACGGAGGGGTGCCCAGGGAGTGTGCCAGGCTCTGCATGGATGCTGCAAAAGGCTCTGTGGGGCAGAGAAGCAGCACAGCAAAGCCACCGTGTCTTGGCTACCCCTCCCAGTCCCCCAAACACCTGCCAGTCTTAGTCCTTCCTTGCCTATGGCCACACAGGCTTAAAACCAAAACTCTGAACCCTTTTTCAGAGCTTTCATCTCATGGAGGCCCAGGGTAAGAGCCCAGCTGGCACCCAGGGCTGCCATGAGGAAATCCTCTGCTTCTGCCAGCACTGGGACTGTCTGCATCCCGAGGCCTCTGGGGAGGAGCACCCCTAGAAGGGGATGGAGCCAGTGCAGAGGGCCAAGGCAGAGCCTCTGCTCCCGCTTGGGCACGGCACATCTGAAGGTGCAACGTTGGGAGTGATACCAGAATCTGCCTGAGCCTGCTCCTGCGCCTGCCCTTGGCTCCCAGAGCAGGACCCTGATGCCAGGGGCTGCCTGGGCTGGGGAGGGGGGGCAGACCAGGCACCAGAGCCTTCAGCGATGCCACCTGCTCCGAAGAATCTCCATCCCTGGCAGAGGGGCTCTGGACAGGCTGGCAGTCCTGATGTCTTCCCCTGCAGGCACAAGCATGCCTGGACCTCCCCAGCCCCTCTCCTGCTCTCCAATCCCCTCTCCAGCCCTTTCCCAGCTGCAGCCGGGCCCGCAGCCTCCTCCTCCAAGCCCAATGCAGAGTCAGCGCTGCGGCCCCGGTTTGTGCCAAGACAGCGGCAGCCTCCACCACAGGTCTGGCATGTCCCCAAGAGCAGAAAGCGAAGGGCAAGGCAGGGACGCAATCACAGCAGCAAAGAGGACAAGAACGCTGAATACGGGGGTGATCCCCCCCCTCCCATAGCTGTTAGTGGGTGTTTATTGGGCAGGCGTCAAACAGTCTGGCAGAGCAGGGTCCGCGTCTCTTGGCCCAGCTGCGGGTGCCCCTCCGGTGTTGGGCACAGAGTCCATAGCGAGCTTGGGTGGAGGAGAGGAGGGGTGTTACTGGTGCGACTTGGGGTTGGAGGGGTGTAAGGAGTAGTCGTCAAAGAGCGGGTTCCTCACTTCCATTTCTCCAGTCTGTGCCGGCGGCGGACGGAGCGGGACAGGGGGAAGGAAAAGGCAGGATGTCAGAAATCAGCAGGGGTTAAGCCACCCTGTCCAAGGGGGTTTGAGTCTGAACCCCAGCCCAGCCGGGAGGATGGAGGATGGGGGGACCTTGAGGGATGAGATGGGGTGACACACCAGGACCCAGCCACCATCCCTGGGAAGGCGCTGCCTCACTGTCAGGCGTGGCTGGGGAGCCTGGGATGGTGTGATGATGTGTAAAACCCATGGCCCCGGGTGGGATGGGACCCCACAGAGTGGCTGGGGACCCCAGGATGGGACCCCAAGCCTGGCTGGTAGGAATGGGGTTCCTTGCCCAGACTGCCTGCCTGCCATCAAGTGCCCTTTAATGGGCCTGTAAAGACCTAATGATGACCCTTAATCTGGGCCCTGATGGCCGGGCTACGCATCCATTACCATGTGAAAGGCTCTTTTCAGGTCTCTTTGTGCTCTTTGTACCCAGTTGTTAGGCGCTGCCTTTCCCTGGGGTCCCCTGCCAGCCAGAAAAAGTGTGTGTGTCGTGGCTTTGAAAGGTCACAGGTGCCCGGGTGCTGCAGAGGCACCAGGATGAGGCCCCCTGTCCCAGTGCCCAGGAGACTGGGGTGACCATGTCCCTGGCACCACAGGGACGGCAGGTTGGGTCAGCCTTAGCTGCTCTGGCTCTCTCCTCCCGCGGCCACGGGGCAGTGCTTCCCAGGAGAAAGCCCCGTGCTGGGGCACCCATGCCAGGGCACCCACTCCTGACCACTGGAGGCTGCAGTGGGACCTGGCCAGGGCACATGGGGGAAGCAGAAGGGTTTTCAGCATCTCAGGGTTTCATGAAGGATGTGTTGAAAAGGCTCCTCGAGAGGAACTGCACATCCCAGTCACGTGTCAGATCCCACCCTGCACACACAGGGTTCCCCCCAGCCACCCTGCGCCCGCCATACCGGAGCCAGCCCAGGGCACTCATACACGGTGAAGTCTCCATCCTCATTCTCCTCGTCAGATGACGTTGAGTCTGGCAGCTTGGGCTCCTCTTTATGCCTGAGGGGAAAGGATGCAGTGAGGGGGTGAAGCCCGGGGGGACGGCACCCCAGTTAATGTGAGGGCATGGACCACAGACTGGGTCTGATGTCTGTTCCTGGGGCTGCTTACTTCTCCATGGAGAGCATCTGCTGCTTTTGGTGCTGGTAGTGGTACATCTGGGCACTCTGGACCAGAGTCTTGTCCCTGGGCTGCAGAGAGAGCAAGGACAGGCGTGGAGGCCGGGCTCTGCAGGGCCACCAGCCTGGCTGGCGGGTGTCCCCCACTGTGGTGGGTGCCCCTCAAGCAGAGCACAGACCAAACGCCCTACAAGGAGGGACACGGGTGCCTTACCGAGATCTTATTATAGGGCAGAGGACTGGCTGCTCGCTGTGTCGAGTAGTCTGCTTTCTGCGCCAGCCTGACCTCCTTCTGCAGCCTGCCAGGGGAGAGCAGCGCAGTCAACAGGAGCAGATGACTCCATACGGGAGACAGTGACCCCAGGGGGGCTCAGTTCTCCCACCCACATCCCTGTTCCCCAAAAGGACACCCCTGACAGGTGGCACCCCAGGCACAGCCACCTCCATCCTGCAGGGCCTGGGCAGGAAGCACTGACACGCAGGGAGTGTCAGCACCCAGCGCCACAGCGATGCCCAAACCAGGCGCCACCCACTCCGTGTGCCTGGCACGGGGGTGTCCCTACCACTGTCCCCCAGCCCCCACCAGCAGATGCCACACCTGCAGGAGGACTGGCAGGGGCAGCTATTGTCTCTCCTCCAAACCTTCCCCACCACACCCGGGCAGCACAGGAACGAGCTCCCCTGGGCACAAGGACACAAAGACTGGCTGGCAGCAGCAGCCCCCAGCTTACCTGCACCAGCAGACTGCAGCCATGATCAGCGCCGAGATCCCAGCCACTGTGCACACCATGATCAGCCCTGCAGAGGCAGAGGGGACACAGAGGGACAGTGGGTGAGCCCAGTGGCACAGTGACACCAGCCCATGCTTCCCTGGCCAGGAAGTGAAACCCCCTGCCATGAGCTTCCTGTCCCGTGTCTCACCAAGCACCATGTCATCATTTGAAGGGACGGGGGACGCCTCCACTGGGTACTTCTGGACTGCAGAGGTGGTGGAGGAGGTGGGGAGGGTGGCAGCTGCCTCACTGCCAGTGGGATCCCGCTGCAGAAGCCCCTCTCTCAGCCCGCCGGCCACGTGCTGTCTGCTGCCAGTGGGGACTGGGGTGGCTGCGGGAGAAGGCAGAGCTGTGAGCAGAGCACTGCCCAGGCAGCTCTGGAGGGCAAACCAGCCTGGGATGCAGGGTCTGGCTGCCATGGGGTTGCCAGCACTGCTGCAGGGAGTGGTGGGAGTGAGAGAGCAGGCACTTACTCCTGGGTTTGCCATCCTGCAGAGGGTGGGGGTGAAGAGCCTCTTGTCTGGCCAGCACATCTGCCAGAAAATCGATTTCTTTCTCCAAGCTGGGAATGGATGCTCGCCCTGTGCCAGGAGAGACATGGGGTGTGAAATGGGCATCTGGGATGCTGCTGTGCCCCCAGCCCCAGGGCCATCCCAAGCATTGCCCCAAGAAGGGGCTTAACATTCCAGCACCAGCAGATGTGGGTGGTTTGGACTCTGAGCCCACTTGGATGCAGCACTCTGTCACACAGGTGGTCTCAAAGACCCACAGATCTGGGATCTGCACATGTCCTCGCCACTTGGGGAATGCTTTTTCCAAAAGCTGCAGGAGCAACAGTGGCCACAGCCACCCCTGTGCCACAGCCAGTGGGTCCTGCAGAACCCTGTAGGAGCAGGCAGGCTGCCAGCACCCACTGATCAGGACCTGCCCTGTGTCCCTTGCACCTGCGGCCATAAAATGGCCCTGAGCAAGGAGGGACACCAAGAGAGACACCCCGGGGCTGCGAGGGGCAGCTCTGAGGGGGAATCACAGACCCACTGTGGGCAGTGGGGCCATTTCAACAGCAGGCAGGGGACACCCAAATGCTGGTTTTCACCCCAAATTGTCCTGTATGGTGCAGGGGGTGGGAGCCACTCCAGAGCAGGGTTCATCCAGGGCTGTCCAGCTGGGAACCCTCGCTCCAGCTGAGGGGCCAGCTTCTGCCAGCACCCGGCAGGATGCAGCCCCTTTGGGGAGGGGGTCGGGGTGCCCCATGCAGCAAGGACCATCAGGTATCCGCAGGGGCTGGCTGGGCATTTCAGGAGTGGCTACCCCAGCCCATGCCCCTGCACACCAGGAACCCACAAAGGGCCGGATGCACCTGGGGCATGGGGCACGGGCAGAACCCCCATGCCAGCCTGGGGGTGCCCACCCATGGGGTGACAGTGCAGAGCAGGAGTGGAGCTGCTGTCCTCAGGCTTGCCAAGTAGAGCCAAGCTCTGACACTCACCACTCTGCTTTTAACAGGATTAAACTCAACTTCAAAGGCAGAAGTCCTTGTCCCCATGCCTGCTCCCTCTGCCCCTGTGCTGTAGTATTCAGGCTGTCCCCAGCGGGAAGCCCCTGGAGGGTAAATCAAGACATACAAAGGCGAGGTGGTAGCAACAGCTCAGTTCCTGGATAATTCAAGGTTATAACAATTACAGCTCCTCTGGAATCTGTTCTCGATCCCAGTGTTTGGAAATAAACTCCAGTTCCCTCCAGAGCCAGGCACAAAGGCCACTCAGACATCCCTGTGACTCAGAGCCACACAAGCCAAAAATCAGTTTAAAAGGGGAACACTCTTGCTTTCAACAAGTGCATGAGCAGCCACTGCCCCATGTCCGCTGGCTCCCCAAACTGCTCCTCAGCCTCCCGTCCTTGGCAGGAGCTGGAGCACCCCATGAACTGCAGGTTTCCCCAGCTCTTTGTACCCTGTTATTTCCACCCCAAAGCAATTTACAAAGCAGTGTCATGGCCATGCGGGGCCAGGTTTGAGGCTGTGCGACCAGCGCCGTGCCCGATGGGTGAATGCCATGGTGAAAAGGTGCCAGCAGAAGGCCAGGCTCTCCTGATGGGCAGGGAAACTGGCATGAGACTGAGCATGACAGCTCCGTGCCCTGTGGGGACAGCCTTGTGCCCAGGATGGGATGACCTGGTGCCTCATGGTGACAGCCCTGCACCAGGCATGGGGACATTCTGGTGCCCAGGATGGGACAGCCTGGCTCTAGCTTCCCACTGCACTCAGGAAAGGCCTGTCTGTATTCCCACCCAACCTAGGGGACAGCCCTGCCCATGCGTTTCACTGTTAGGCCTGGGGGAACCAGGTGCTGCCACCAACGGGGTGCACTGCCCAGCCCTGCCCTGACATCCTTTGGCCTTGTGCAGATGCAGTTGCAACAGCCAATGCTTCAGGAGGATGAATATGACATGGCTCAAAAAGGAAAAAAAAAGCTGGAAAACCAGCAAGAGCAGCTCCCAGGTCACTCTGAGCCTCCTGCTGTGCAAAGCAGCACAAAGAAAACCAAGACAGCCGTGCTGTTTGTGGTTTCCGGCGTTGCTGGCAGTGCCTGGCGCATGCTGCTCACCTGCATTAACCAGCTTTATTGCCAAGTTCCCTTTCAGCGTCTAAAAATCCCCACACCCCTTTTGTTCAGCAGCTGAGATTTCCCCTGCTGATGCTACATCTGTCACTGCAGCGTTTGTGGGGCAGAAGCAGCCTGGCACCGATGGCTGGTTCCTGCTGGGCACCGTCGGTGTGTGAAACGCCAGCCCAGGGCTTCTCCCCAAGGAAAAGAGGGCTGGGGTTGAGCCCCAATTCCTGCGTGGATGTGCCAGGCTCTGGCTCTTGCTGCAAGAGGAGATGAGGAAATGGGGGGCCTGCAGAGCTCCCCGCAGCCCTGCTGCAGCAAGTTGGGCATGCTGGGCAGGCACAGGGTGCACCAGGGCATGCACAGGGGACACGCAGAGCTTGTGCAGGGCATGGAGGGTGCACGCAAGGTGTGCACATAGACACAGGGCACGCACAGGGCAGGCAGGCTGCACACAGGGTACACACAAGGTGTGCACAGGGCGTGCACAGGGCATGCACAGGGCACACAGAGCACACACAGGGCATACACAAGGCACACAAAGCACACAGGGCATGCACTGGGCACACACAGGGCGTGAAGAGTGCACACAGGGCATGCAGGAGGCAAGCACAGGGCATGCACAGGGCACACGGAGCACACAGGGCATGAAGAGTGCACACAGGGCATGCAGGAGGCAGGCACAGGGCATACACAAGGCAGGCACAGGGCACACGGGGCTTGCACAGGGCACGGGTGCCCTCTCATGGTAGGTCCCAGCCAGGCTGGCACACAGCAGCCTAGCCCAATCCAGCTGTTCTGCCCGCCCCCCCCACGGCCCCTCCTTGGGCCTTTCCCCTCCACAGGGTCTCCAGGGTTCAACCCTGGGATGCACGCAGGGGTCTTGCCAGTTAGTTACCGGGATGGGTTTGGGGATAAGAAGGGACACAAGTGGCTTCAGCCCCAGGCAGAGGAAGCCTGATGTTGACAGTGTCCATGGGACAGCACAAAACTCCTACAAACCCACTTATTTTTGTAGCCCTTCCCCAGGATGGCTGATGCCCTCCTGGCTGCTGGCAGCACAGCAAGTGGGGAGGGGGGAACACCGAGGTCCACAAGCCGAGACCCCCTTTTCCCCCTCTTCCCAAAGTGCTTCCTGCAGCTCCACAGGGCTTAGCCTCGTTCCATGCTGGTGGGGCCAGGTGGGAGCAGGATGGGACCCACCAGCCCAAATTACATGACGCAAATCCATCACAGCACATTCAAATAGCACGCAGCACTGGGGTGCTAGCAGTGTTTCAGGGGCCCAGACCCCTGCGCCAGCGAGGTGCAGGCAGCCACCTGCCTGCCCAGCCGCAGTGGCTGTGGGACACATCGCGCTCTGAGGTCCTGCGCATCCCATCTCACCTTCATGCACCGGGTACGCCGAGACATCCACATGTGCCATCACCAATGGCAGGAACATGCCTCTCACATGCATTGCCCTCCTGAGACCACAAAACGCTGATTTTTCACTCCAAAAAGCTGCTCAGTGCCTGCCTGCATGGATACACTGAAGGAGAGAACCCCTGACTCCTGCCCATGCCTCTGTCAGGAGCCACAACCAATTGCAGCGATGGCGTGGCAGCAGCAGCTGGGATCCCAGGATCAGCATCACCAGCAGTTGCAAGCAGCTGCGTTGCCATGGCAACCCCCCCATTTGCGTTTAATCCCCCCCTCCAAATGCAGCTATCGCAGCCTCTCTGCACTCTTGCAGGATCCCTCTGTTGCACTGGGCAGCTGCGTGCTGCTGCCAGGATTTGGGAGGGGAATCCTCCTTTTTTTTTCCTGTACCCACACTTTTGCTGCCAGAAGGTGGTGGCATTGCTTGAGACAAGAGGATGGGGCTGGGAGAGACTCTGGCACGGTCCCCACCCCCCGGCATCCTCCCAGCATCCTCAGAGGATGCTACCATGGCCCCACATCTCCCTGATGAAGCTAGGAAAGGACATTACCACAGTCCTAGAGAAGCCAAGCAAGGATGCTACCGAGGCTATGACTCCCTACAGAAGCCAGCACACAGCAGAGTTGCTATGGAGATCACAGAATCATAGAATCATAGAATTGTCTTGAAGACCATCCAGTCCAACCACTGACCTAACACTGACTGTTCCCAACTAATGGCAGTGCATGTGCAGCCCTTCTGAGAGGGGAATTTACTCCCAAGACTTCACATTAAAAAATAAACCACAAACAATTGTTAAAGCTGTTTGGTACCCATGCCAGGGAGCATTGGCCTGTCAGACCCCTGCTCACTGCCGCATGCCAAGCCCGGACTCCATCCCTGTGCCACCCCCTCTCTTGTCCCCCCCACCAGCCATCACTCCCATTTCAGTGCAGCCTGGCCCCTCTGCCCAAGAGCCAAAGTGCTGTGCAGAGCCAGGGCCCCGCTTTGGGGGTCTCTCCTCTGATATAAGGGATGATCCTCCCGCCAGGAGTCTGACGTCATGAAGGACACAATGGGCTCTGCCATCCCCCATGTGCCCACCCGCTGCACAGCACACACAGCTGGGCAAAGGGCAGCTCTGGCTGCACCCTGGTGGGACCCTGAATGTGCCCAAGACACAGGAACCAGAACACAAATCAACCCCCTCAAAAACCCAGAAGTGCCCCCCATGCCAGCAGCAGCTTGGGTGTGTGGGGAGCTGCCTCTCTGGGTCCTACCATGGCCCAGCAAGCCAGTGCTTATCCTCCACACCCACACTGCCCAGTGTGGGACAAGCCATCCTGTGTGTTTTCAGCAGGTCCCTAGGCCCTGGGGTGGGAATGGGGGGCTGCAGGCGAGGGGCTGCTGCTGCTGAGCCAGCAGGGATGCTGCCTGGTGAGCACCAGCTCAGCCCCACACTGCGGGGCAAGCAGGCTCCAGCAGGGACCATAGGCTCTGCCCACCATGGAAAAAACAACCCTGCCTTAGCCAGGGGGTTTGGGCAGCGGGAGGAGTGAAAAACAGGCTGATGCACTTTGCAGCAGGCATGAGGGTGGCTCAGAGGCACTCAAGAGCCCTCACCCCACACTGGGTGGTCCCCAGCAAAACCCACCGGGAGCAGCGTGCAAGGCCGGGTCCCATCTCCTTCCCCACACACAGAGGCTGCTCCTCTTCAGCTAAAGCAAAAATAATTGGGTGGAGCTGTAATTACAGTCTTAATTTGCCCGTTCATTGAATCTGCAAGAGAAACCACAAGGTGGGGGGCACAGAAACAGCTCTGCTTACAGCTTTCCAAGCTGCACAGAGTTGTGGATCACCCTAAAAAATGTGCTGCCTGTGTGGCTGAGCCAGGGTGAAGGTGCCACAGCAGCACTGGGAGCACCCTCCACACACCACAGCAGTGGGTGGGAGGGCTCTGGGTGGGGTGCCACGGGTGCCCACAGACTGCTGCTCCTCAGGCATGCTCTGCCCATCTCCCACTAGCACAGCGCAGCCACCCAGGCTGCCACAGCCCCATAGCTCCCTCGGGGAAGGAGCGAGGGGATAACACGCAGTGCAGCCCTTGGTGCCCTCATGTGAAGCTGCGCAGGGCTCCTGACTGTCTCCAACCCTCCCAGCATTGATGCTGGGCAGCCCCAAACCACAGCCCAAAATCTCAAACTAATAGGAACCAGGGACTGAAATTCCAAACACCAGCACGGCTCAGCTCCATGATGGGTGAGGCCGTGGGCACCCGTCTGCCTCAGCCATGGGGTCTGCAGGAGTCACGGCTCTGTGCAACCAGAAGCCGCCACCCTGCTCCTGCAAAGCTTGGGGCTCTGCACGGCCACATCCTCTCCTCTGAAAAGCTCCCACTCCAGAGCAAGCAGGCAGACCCCAGAGCACCCCTGCAGCCACCGAGGCCCCCTCCTGTCCCTGGACTCCTGGTCACCGCTGGCATGGTCACTGGCACACACTGTCACCAGCAGGAGGATGCACAAGGAATGGGGTCAGGTCTGCGTGCTCCCTGCCAGCCCCAAAACCACACAACTGCAGCGAGCCGGGGCTTGGGGTGCAAGGGGGCAGAGCTGCCAGCCCTACAGGGATCCGGCTGCTGTGGAGAGAAGCCAGAGGACAGAGAGCAGGGGTGCTGCTGAGGTGGGTGGGGGCTGCCCTGAACCTCCTGGATCTGCTGAGGTGCAGGGCAGGTTTGCAGGCAGAAGGTTGCAGAAGGGGCTGCTGCAGGATGGATGCACCTACCGCTGGGGGAGAGCTGCTTCTGGATGCATCGCCCGTGGTCATCCTCCTGGAAGGCGGGCAGGCAGGGGCCGCAGGCGCCTGACCCCGGCGGGCAGAACTGCCGGCGCTGCAGGGCACAGTCCAGGCTCCGGGGACACGATGCTGCTGCAGGGACAGGAGAAAAGAGGTCAGGAGGAGGAGACAGGTCAGATGCTCCCCTGGGTGTGTCCATGGCCTCTTGGCATGGGACCCAGCCACCCCAGGCAGCTCCTGCTGCAGTTAATGGGTGCAGATGTGCTTCATCAGAGCTGCCCCTCGGCTCCCCTTTGCCTTTGCAAAACCGTTGCCAGCTGCAATTAAGCAGGAGCTCTAATGACCCTATAGTTGAACTCAATGACCTTTATGGGTCCCTTCCAACTCAAGATAATCTCTAATTTTATGACCTGTGTGAGGCAGTTTGCTGCCTGCAGGGAAGAGCAGGCAGTGCCCGTCCTCCTGCATGGCACCCCAAGCCCCAGGGTGCTGCCATCCCTGGGATGCCCCACGTCCCAGGGTGCCACCATCCCACAGGACACCACGAGCTGCAGGTTGCCACCATCCCGTGGGACACCCCAAGCCCTGAGGTGCTGCAGGACACCCTGAGTCCTACAGAGGTGGCTGCAGGGGGGCTCTCTAGTCCCCACCTGCACCATGCAGGCAATGGCTGAGCAGGCTGGCAGCTGAAATCTGATGAACACAAACCGACCCTCATGTGGCAGCTGTCAGAAAAAAACACCTCTAAACCAACCCCTGCCCAACACCTCAGCACAGCTGTGACAGGTCATTACAGGCAGCAGCACCTTCCATTTCCATCCCTTTGACACTGCGACAGGGTAAACCAGTGGGACCCAGTCCTCCCCCAGCGATGCACCGCAGCCCAAACCTCCCTCCCAACTTTACAGGGCATCTTGTTTACCTGGCAGTGCTGCCATGGCCACGAGCAGGCTATTTTCTTTACCCCAGCCTGGCTCAAGCCAGTGGGACCTTCTGGGGGGACACAAAGTCCCTGGGTCCTACACAAAGCTGAGTCCTGAGACTGGATGATGGTGGCAAACCATGTGCAGAGATGGAGAGAGGAACTGCACCCAGGTGGGGCCATGACACAGAGGGCCAGTGCAAGGACTCGCTGGCAGCATGGGTCCTGGCTTTCAGTGACAGCAGCAGGAGCCACTGCCACGGACGGTGACACGTTGGCCACGCATAAGCACCGCCATCCCTCCCTGCCAGGCTGGTGGCAGTGTGGAGCCTGTGTCCTGGGCTGGCCACAGCTGGATGGGTGTCACAGCTGGATGGGGGGGCAGCACAGAGCTTCCCAAGCCCTGCCCTTCACCTTGCTGCACGTGGCCATGCCTACAGCTTTCCCACAGGCAGCAGCAGGCAGGAGAGCACCACCAGGGCCCTCACTGGGAGTAGGGCCAGGCCTGGCCGCCCCCGGTGATGAGTCATGGCAGGAGCTGGCTCCCAGCACAGTCCCACGCTGCCTGAGCCATCCCTGCCCACGCTGACACTGCCGTCTGCCCGTCCCCATGCCCTGGGGGACGGCAGCCCTGGCACAGCACAGCACCGAGCACCCGAGGGGAAGGGGCACCCCAGCTCTGGGGGCTTTCCTGAGCATCCCCAGCCCAGCAGCACACTGGGGGTGAGGGGGGCAAGTTGCTGCTGTGCCCAGGCATGGCACGGTGGGGAGTCCCTGTACAGGATGGAGCCACCAGGACATGAAGGTCCAGGGACATGGCAGCAGCTTTCCTGCACCAGGTGCAAGCGGGATGCTACCCCAAAGCAACAGCTGTGGGATGCTGAGCAGGGTGCCACCCACAACAAATCCCTACTTGCACAGCCCTAATTCACCATTAAAGTGCTCATTGGAGGATGCAGCCACTACCAATGGCACCCAGGCTGCAACCAGACCCCTCCACACTGCACTCCACGGGGCACTGCGATATCACCCTCTGGCTGATGGAATTGGAGGAGGGCTGAGCTGCCTTTGCTGCAGTGGTTTCTCCTGCGAGCAGGGTTTTTTCAGCAGCTGCAATTAGGGTTGGCTGAAATCCATGCTGGGTGCAGCAGATTGGGGGAGGATTTGCTTGGGGTGGGGGGCAGAGGCCACTGTGCCTGTGGGAGCTGAGTTTGCTCCCTGGGGATGGCGCAGGACTTGGCCAGGTGGTTGGGGAGAATTAATACTTCATGGGAAAAGAATCAGGCGTTTAAGCATAGAAATCGGACTTGGCTGCCTGCTTTGCTTGCCCTGGGCTCGGTCTCAAGGCCGTTTTGTTTAAAGATCACAAAACAGCCAAAACATGTGGACACTCAAGGGCAGGAGGTTTTGGTACTGTGCAGACCCAGGGGTGGGGACATGCCACATCCCCGCGGTGTGCTGGGGAGGGACACTGGAAACCCCCTCCTGTGCCAAGGGTCTGTGGAAACAAATCCCCTCAAAACAGGCACTGGTGAAAGCTGGATGGGAGGTGGCAGGAAACCACCCTGGCATGGGTCACCTGACACTTGTGGCCACCCAGCACCATGAAACCCCATCAGGACCCTTGGAGCCACCTTGGGGCAATGGAAGAGGTGAGGAGAGGGCAGCCCCATGCCAGTGCCCAGCAACCAGTTAAATAAACCCCAGCCTGGAATACATAAAAGGTTGTTATCTCTGTTTGAGGAACAAGCTGTGCTTGCCCAGCTGTCACAGGCTGGGATTAGGAGCAAGACAGGCGGGCACCAATCTAGTTAAACTCCCCATGTGTAATCAGTCTCTGGTTAGCAAGCAGATACCACTGTGTGGGCACCCTGCAGGGTGAGGGGTTTCATGGGGGTTTTGCCACTCTCTGAGCCCACCAGCTGCTCCTTGGCTGGGCTGGTGAGAGTGAGCACCTCCATGTCAGGTTGGGTGCCAGGGACTGAGCACCCCCGGTGCTAGCACTCAGGAGCCATGGGGACATCTCCAGCTGCTGCCAACCACCCACCCCTCCCTTGCTGGCTCTTTCCCGCCCTACCCACACTTGCCCCAGCAGTCTGGTGGCGAGGTCCAGCTCCTGTTGCAGGGTGTACCTGACCCTACCTACCACCCCTTGGCTTCCCCAGCAGAGCGCTCTGGCCATGGGTCCCTCCTGCACGCCCACCCCATGTGGGTGCCAAGGCTGGCACAGCACATGGGTCCTGTTTCCACCCCGGCACTGGCCATGTCACAGCCATGCCACCCACCTGCATGAGCACCAGCTTGCAGGCGGCAGCTCCCCAGTCTTGCTTCTGCTTCTGTAGGGCTGCTGTTGGGTCTGGGAGACTTTGGGATCCTCTACTCCAACCGTGCCCTGTGCCTAGCATCAGTGCAGCTCAGTGTGGCCAGCCCTGCTGGCTGCTGGGGCAGGAGGGATGCCCTGGCCATGAATGGGACAGCGAGGACACACCCAGGCTGGTCCCAGGGGACAGGGACACAGTGGGACAGCACAGATCTGCCTGCAGGACAGTACAAACCAGATGTAAGGCAGAGTGAGAGGAGCAGGCAACAACATGGAGTCCAAAGCCGGTGTCAGCCATGGCACAGCTGGGATGCCACTGCCCAGATGTGCTGGGAACATCTGGAGGAGGGGGATGCTCCATCCAACCACTGTCACTGTGGCTGCCACGGTGCAAACCTCCCACGCAGGTGGGCAGCAAGCCCAGCACAACCTGAGGTAAACCATTAAACCAGGCTTTGGGCTGGGACAAGCTGGAGAAAGCAGGGTGGCTCCCTGCAGAGAGAAACACAGGCAGGAGTGGAGGCCAGTGGGTGAACAGGACCCGTGCAGCCAGCATGGAAAGACAAACAGTGGGTGAGCATGAGCCAGAGGGGCATTGAGCAGCAACAGCCCCAAGCACAGGAGGAAACACTGGCATGCGAGTATTGAAATAGGAGCACACACACACACACAGAGCTTCCTCGACAGGTTTTTTGGGTGTGAAAGATCAGCACAACACCCCCAGCCCCTGGGGGGAGCTGTGTCAGGTACGTGGGGCAGGTCCTGGGGTGAGCAGAGCACCTGCAACTGGGGGTGTCCACTGCAGCCCTCTGAATGCCACAGGGCCCGACAGTCTCTTGCCATGGCTGGGCAGGGCATGGAGCTACTGGCAGTCACAGCCCTGGGTGAAGAGCTTTATTTGATACTTGTGCCAAAACACACATGTAAAAAAAGCCCAGTGACACCAGGAAGGATGTCTGGGTGGCTGGGAAGGCAGGAGTTGCCCCCACTGTGTCACTGCTGCAGATAGAGAGATAAAAGTTAACATAAGAGGATAATTAATTAGTGCTGAGCACTGGTCCAAGTGCTTACGCTACATGCACTGGCAACGCCAATGCCCAGCCTCTCAGTTGACAGGGCCCCGATGCCAACAGCATGAGCTGGCAGAGCCCACTGGGCATCGTCTGTGGCAGGCGAGTGGGCACAGAGCTCAGGCTGGCCTGCCCGGGGCTGCCTGCCGCGGGCTACGGGCCGGCCCCGCACAGCAGCAAGACACAGCCCCAGGCGGGGGACAGTCACCCAGCCAGGCACGGGGGGAGATCGGGGTCCCTGAGAACAGGGGTGCAGGTCTCCACACCATGCTGCGCCCCGCAGCTGAGGAATGGCTACAGCTGAGGGCACAGCAGATCGCAGGCAGGGCTGGGAGCCCAGGCCCCGCAGCGGTGCAGTGTCTGCCAGCTCCACTCCAAGGTCACTCCTCCTCCAGGCAGGTGATGTGGGACCTGCTGTGGGACCTGCCTGCAGCCTGTCTGCTCTCCCAGCACTTCTGTCAGCTGGCACCATCTGGGGCTCTCCTGGCTCTGCAATTTTACTCCTGGCTGTGAAGGGCTGAAGCTGGCTCTGGGCCATGGGCAGGCAGGCGTGTTGCCCCAAACCACCCCCCAGACCCCCAGATCTTCCTTCCCTCTGCTCCGCAGCCTCCCTGGGGCAGGGGCAGTGCTCCTGCCGAGCAGCAGGCAGGAGCAGGGGGGGCTAAGACACCCAAATGCCGCAGCTTCACGCCGCCCATGGCTGGGGACTCGGCCCCCGGGGTGAGCTGGGCAGCCACAACACCACAGCAAAACATGGGTGGATGCTTGGGGTTGCCCGGGCCAGTGCCCCAGCCCTGGCGCTGCTCCCACTGCACACACCGACCACAAATGCCCAACACCAACTGCAGGAGGGTCCCCATGCCTGCAGCCCTGAGCCCTGCCAGGCTCCCTGAGGTGGCTGCAC